ATGTTGCAGTTGCTGCTGCTGCTGCTGCTGCTGCTGGGGCCGCCAAAGCACTGAGCCCCGCAGCCTCAATAAGTGCAGCAGCACGGGGGCCTTCCCATACACCCCAGCTTTCTCCCCTGCATGCATTCAGCAGCAACAGCAGCAGCAGCAGCAGCAGCAGCAGGCAGATGAATAAAGACAGCTGAAGCAGCAAGAACGGACGCTCCTTGGGTAAAACACCACAGCAGCAGGAACTGCAGCAGCAGCAGCAGCAGCAGCAGGAGGGGGCCCGGCCGCAGCAGCAACACCAGCGCTATCAGAAGTAGGCAGCAGCATCAGCAACCACTGTAGCAGGTACACCAGCAGCAGCAGCAACAGCAGCAGCAGCAGCAGCAACAAGAAACGAACTCAGCTGATGCTGCTGCAGCAGGAGAGAAGGGCTGAGAGTTGAAGAGGCAGCAGAATACATCCCGCAGCACAAGGGGAGCGAGCTGCTGCGCCGCATGCAGCCACTGCTGCAGCATAAGCAAACACGGAGAGCTGCTGCAGCAGCTATTGCTGCTGCTGCTGCTGCTGCTGCTGCTGCTGCTGCTGCTGTTCGTGCTGCTTTTTGCTGCAGCCAGCAGCAGCAGCTGCAGCGAACGAGCAGCTGTCGGCCGCACCCCAAACCGCAGCAGCACCTGCATAGACGCACGCAGCTGCACACAGAACGTTTGCAGCAGCAGCAGCAGCAGCAGCAGCAACAGCAGCAACAGAAGCAGCAGCAGCAGCAGCAGCAGCAGACAGCTTACTTTGTTTGTATTTGCTGCAGCAAACGGGGTTGCTGCTGCGCCGGAGAGGGTCAAGCCGCTGAGGCCCCCACGCATGCGCGCAGCAGCAAGCAGCAGCAGCAGATCTTCTCTCAGTTCTGCTGCTGCTGCTGCTGTTGCTGCTGCTGCTGCCTGTCGCGGCCCCTGAAGCAGAGCCTCCAGCCACCAGGGCGTGGCACCAGCAGCAGCAGCAGCAACAGCACCACGAACAGCAGCAGCACCAGCAGCACCAGCAGCAGCAGCAGCAGCAGCAGCACGTGCTGCTGCATGCAGGTACGCAGGCAGCCTCCTGAAGTCGCTGTAGCTGATGAGCCCCCCCCCGCGGATATCCAGCAGCGCCGCCACCAACACACTCAGCTGCAGCGCAGCACAAACGCATGCAGCAGCAGCAGCAGCAGCAGCAGCAGTAGCAGCAGTAGCAGCAGCAGGAGCAGCAGATGCAGATGCATGAACTATCTAACAACCAGCAGCAACATCTACACGCATCTACTCTGTGTAGTTACACCCTGCTGCTGCTGCTACTGTTGCTGCTGCATCTGCTGCTGCTGCTGCTGTTGCTGCTGTTGCTGCTGCTGCTGCTGCTGCTGCACTGCTCTTACGTGTGGGGGAAGGCCAAGGACAGTTTCGAGGCCGCTGGCAGTCTGTGCCGTCGTCAACTCCAGCGAATCCTGCTGCTGCTGCTGCTGCTGCAGTTGCTGCTGCTGCTGCTGCTGCAGTTGCTGCTGCTGCTGCTGCTGC